CATGTGTGTAGCATAATATCCATGCCTTCTTGTGATCATGTCTAGATTTCAAGTGTTGATATGTTGACATAAAAACCTCAAGTATGCTATGAATATGCCACTTGTTGCTTATATCAATAAGAAAGTGACACTCTATGGTAAGTAGCATAGTCTTGAAATAGGGTTATTGCATGCTACAATAGTACTAGGAATTGGTCAAAACTTTTAAAATTCACTTTTAAAATTAACAAAAACTCAAAATTCTGCAGTTATTTTAATAAAAATTTATGATTTGGGTAATTTGAGTTAGTTTGTTATCACTTTTTTGTTTAGATCCAATACCATATCACCTTGCATTATATCTCCATAATCCAGAAGTGCTCAATTCATTGGGAACAAACACACTTATTCTCAAGAGGTAGTTTTACCTAGTTGTGCATGGATGAACAATATGAATTTTGCCCTCCCATGTCATTGAACTCCTCTACCCAATCATGCACCATATATACATTTGACCATTCTGTATTTCTCAATAGCATTTATATAGAGTGGGCCCTTGATCATTGTAACAACCATGCTTCTTATATAGTGAGTTTTTGCCATAGAAAAAAAAAGAATTATAAGTTGTTTAACAAGCCACCATCAATGATGTTATGTAAGTAAAGCCCCTGAGGCTCTAGCTTGTAGTGCTTTTCAAAAATCAATGACAATTATTTCATATAAAGAAATGTAAAAGATAACTCTTTTACTGTCTCAACATTGAATAGGATGCAAAGAATTAGTTCAAGTCTCCAATGTTGAACTCACTCGGGATAAATGTGAGTCAATACAGCTCTTAGTATGGCTACATCCCTTAGTTTTCCATCCATAAGAAATTTTGAAGTTCTCATGTTATAGAAGAATTTAACAAAGGAGTGATTCAACCTTTTGCACACTTTTTATGGGATACATACAAATCTAGCCTATAGATAAATAGTGATGCAATTAACTTCTTTTCAAACCTATCTTATAGCCCTCCATCAATTTGGCTTTAGTCTATACAAGAATCTTGTTGTTCATCATAAGCCTGCTTGCTTGTAAAGCTACTTTTGTGATTGCCCAATAGAAAATAGGAGAATGTAAGCAAGCCACAAATCACACAATCAGAGTGGCAAGCTAAACTCTAAACCCTCTGGCCACATGGCATCTAACAGGATATTGCACCCCAGATTTTAAATAATGCTACCACCTCAGCTGAATGTCCAAAAGATATTTTAAGAAATGATATACCAAAAGATTTAAAAATTGGATTTTCAAAGTTATGATTTCTAAAATTTATCTAATCTTTGCATCCAACTTTCACATGTACAGAAATTGAAATGAAATGTAAAAATTGTTCTATGCTAAACCTCAGGCCTAGTGATTTAGGCCTACCAAACCTAAGCCTATATGCAGGTAAGTTCACATTGAACTTAATCTATTGTTATATAATCCACAATATTTTACTAGAAGGTAAATATAATAATTATAATAGTGTAGCATATAGATTGTCTAATTGTGATCCATCAATTTTTGTATATAAATAAGGATCTATACCCTAATTAACAAATCTATATTATGAATGCATGGAATATGGAAATGGAATACCAAAATATGCATATCAATTAGCCCAAAAACCCTAGCTTATAAGTGGTCTAAATGGAAACCAATCCGACGGCTACCAAAATCCCACTATGCTAATATTAGTATATGGCATCACACTTGGACCTCACATCATCCCCTCTTCTCAGAATGATGGAAGATAGAGTTCTTTCGTGGACGGGCTGATATCTAGAGGGACATCAGGAGGTAGCATTGGTGGATCTATATGTAGTGCTAATTATTCCTGATCCCTTTGTACTAAGCATTTCAGCCACTACACATGCACAATTTTTAGAGGATCAACCTGTTAGATGTCATGCCAAATCTCATAAACTTGCAGTTCAATTTGCCACAACACCTGATATGGTCCCTTCCATTAAGCAAAAAGCCTCTTAGCCAAACCACATACCATAAGATTGAGAAAATAGACCAACACCAAGTCATCCACTTTATACTTTGTAGGTAGCAATGATGGAAATTGTAGCACTATTTTTTTCCTACTTGTATATGGCCCAGATGTTCAGTAGACTCTACTCGGATAAGTGGAAGAACATTCACCAAATACTGATCCTAAGACCTAGCATTGGCAACTCGTGGTAATCATGAAAGTAAACCTCAACTCCACTAGTAGTATCAGATCATAACCATATAAGAGTTTATTTGGTGAAACATTAGTAAAACTCTACACTCTTTGTGATATACACATATTGAAGAGATGGTAAATAACTATCCTAATCCGAATACTAAAAGTTCACATATTTCACGATTATCCCTTTGAATGTTTGAATGAGCTGCTCTACTAAACCATTAGACTATGGATAATAAGCACTCAAAAAGTGTGGTGTATCCCCAACCAAGACATTAAAACGTGAAATGCCTCAGCCATAAATGCAGGATTATTATTTGAAAGAATTTACTATAGATAACAATGTTAGAACACCATTTGATTGAGAAGGAAGTAATTAATAGTAGTGGCAAATGCACTAATAAGAGCACTAACTTCCACCCAATGAGTCAAGTAGTTAGAAGCAATAATCACATATTCATTACTAGCAATCGACCGTGGAAAAGGCCTGCTATAAAAAATAATTTTAGGAATATCTTCTTTGGCTATCGGTACTTGCCAATACCTAAAAGCAAGATTTAACTTAGTGAATTAATGACTTCTCCCTAGATAATCCAAGAGATCCATAATGTGAGGAAGAGGGTACACATCCGGGATCGTTACTTCATTTAACGGATGATAGTCAATGCAAAAATGAATACTCCCATCAAGCTATGTCACAAGATAAGGTTTACACACCCAAGGACTCCACGACTTCCGAATAACACTCTTTTCTAACATCTCTTTAATGTTTGCATGTAAAATCTTAATCTAACGACAAATAAGAATCTTGCTTCATAAGCCGGTCAACCATTATAATAGAAGAGTGATGGGAAGAAGAAACAAAGGAACAAGTAATAGAGAGATAAAAGTGATGGAAATAAAGGTAAAAGTAGCATAACTAAGAGGAATAAAAGTGAGAGGAATGAAAACAATATAAAGAAGTATGAAATAAGGGGGAGATGCCTCAAAGTCACATTTGGCATGATTGTGCCGCAATTAATTTATACTAAGGATGAGGTTAAAAGCTTGACTTGGCACAACTTGCAATGATTGCAACTCAAGCTTGAAATCGCTCACATATACAATTAAGTTTGTATTATCCTATGCACATGTATGTGTATGGCTGTTGCCATACAAAATGAAAACTAGCTCTGCCACATGACACAAATATAGATGGTAACATATAGCAATAAAAGATAAACTTAAACCTATATCAACCAACATAGAGAGAATAATAAAAGACCTCTTGTTATAAAAATGAGCTTGGAAAGTAAACACTAGATGAATTACTACCAAGTGAACCCTTTGATAATACTCCTCGAGGAAAGATGGAACTGATATATTTGCACAAAGACCCTTCATTATTTATATGACTCTTCATTTCCTAGAAACATCTTAATGTCTAGATCTTCCACTACAGTAGCATTAATAGGACATTGTTGATGCCAAAATCTCTATCAAGGAAATAAAGGTTGCCAATCTGGAAAATCACCCTTGTCCTTGAATTCAGGCAGCAGTAGCATCAACTTCTATTGGAATAGAACCATTTCCCACAGAAAGTGGAACTAAAAAACATGTAACGAAAAGTGAAAAAGACGATATCTCATAAAATTGTGATTAATGAAAAACATTGTCAAAGGTGGCTAGAGCAAGTGTATGCATAATTTTTATAAGATCTTAACAAAGTGCTAGCTACAACATTCCTAACTTGATATATTCCAACATATTGGGCTTTGCATAAAGTAAGAGACTTTAGAAATGAATGCCAAATTGTATCATGAACTTAAATGGTTTTTAATGGAGGTGATACAATTGTTGAAAGGCATTATCACAATTGTCGGCATATCCAAATGCATGTTTAAAGATGTTCAGGAGAATGCTTCAATCCTCATGAGTGGCTGCACCCAAACCACTGTACTGTTGCAATGCCATCCCTTAGAGACACGTGGCAAACGCCAAACATCATCCCAAGAATGATATATAGTAATTACTGTGAAGTAATTGAACTAATAGTACACATCATCCCAAGATTTCCACGAAAGAACTTCAGCTAGACTCAAGGATTGACAACAAGAGCAGAAAGAGTTGTACCATGCGACATGAATACCACCATCAACTAAGTTTGACTATTCAATTGCAGTTGCATAATATTAAGCAATTGCACTAATTGTTGCTCCAAAGTCAAAGGAGGAGGAAGTTGCTACTCAATGAAAAGGATAAAAGCAAAAAAAAAAGAAATTGAAAAAGCTATAAGAAAAAGGAAATCTAAACAATGCAAAAGCTAGATCTAAAGTAGAGTCCCAAATCTAAACACTTGCAGGGACAATCAAAGTTGCTTTTCACCTCCACCAATATAAGTGTATAGAATATAGAAATGGAATATCAAAATGTTGGAGATGTTTGACCTCCAATAAAAACATAGCTAATGTACCTTGATATTTGGGATATTCTACTATCTAATGATTGTTATTCATTAAGATTAATCTTCTATTTATAATTTATATATATATTTTCTAAAGGGCATCTTATGTTGATATGGTCTAAGACTACATCAGAATGAATATCATTTTTAATAATAAAGTAACTTAAGCAATTTCATGAAGAAAAGTACTTGCTGCCTTTTTTGTCATACACCTATAACATATACTCATAGTTTGTAAGTTCTTTGATTTTATCCTTTTATTATTTTTTTCCTTACAAATAAAAGGTTGTTGTTGATCGTTTGTGACCAAAGATTTTGTTCTCCTTGGCTTCTTATGTTCTCGTCCGTGGACCATACACTGTAGTCATAGTCTTCATCATAGTCTACAGATTTTCAAAGCAGAAAGAAAAATCTAAACAAGTTAGTCACAGCGCTTGATCATGAGCTGCATTCCCAACCCTGGCTTGAGGGTGACGGAAGAAACCGGCGAGTGTTTGTAGCGGGGCGAGAGACCCAAGTGATAATGCTGGAGAATCATGGCTAAAATAAGCTTGGCCTCCATAATTGCGAAGGACTGGCCCACACATATCCTGGGTCCTGAAGAGAAGGGGAGGAAATCGTATGTTTTGCAAGCCCTGGATACGCCCTGGCTGAACCGCTGTGGCCGGAACTCGTGAGCATCTTCGCCCCAGAGGTGCTTGTCCTGGTGAAGGGCCAGAATGGGGATCCAAAAGGTGGTGCCTTTGGGGACGTAGAGATCGCCCACGCAAGTGTCTTGGAGTGCTGCTCGGACTAGATTCGGGGCTGGAGGATACAGTCGCAGCGTTTCATTGATGATCATCCCCACCTGGTCATGGCAATTATCAACAATCATGTGAACATTTTGGTGGGGATATGATATGGAGAGTTCTTTAGACTAGGTATACGTACCGTTTTCAGTTTTGCGAGCGTATCCGCGTTCACTACTCTATTTGACTCTTGGAGAACTTGTCTCGCCTCCTTGCGGGCGAGGTCTTGCCACTCCGGGTGCAAGCACAGCAGCATCATTGCCCAAGTCACAAGCATCAGCGTCGTCTCGTGCCCGACGAAGAAAAAAGTCTGGCACTCCTCGATCAGCTGCTGGATTGTGAACTTGAACTTGGATGATTGCACCTTATTGCCGGGATCCTCCTCGACTGCAGAGAGCATCAAAGCCAGTAGATCGGTGCCCAGTGACGGGCTCGAGAGGCGAGCCTTGATGAGATCCTGGAGCAAAGCTTGCATCTCCCTCTGGAGCTTGCGGATCTTTCTGTTCGTTCTCGTCGGGAGAAGCCTGGTAAGAAAAGCATTGAATCTACGTAAAACGCACGTAGGAAAAGGAAGGGAAGAAAGAGGAAAAAGAAAAAGAAAGAGTATGTAAAAGTATTGTATAGTACCTGCTTCCTGGGAGCCACAGATACTTATTGGATTGAACAAACAGCTTCTGGATGGATGTCAATGTGTGGAAGAGCTTGATCCCATCCGAATAGCTGCTCCCAAACGCCGTGGTAGCGATGATATCGGCTGTGACAACAGCCAGGTCGCGATAAGCATCCACCTCGCAGGGAGCTCCCCCGTTGAGCTCCAAGTGAGCATCCCATCTCCGGATGAGATTCTTGGTGCTCTCCAGCATAGAGGGTACCATTTCCTGCGATCCAAATCTTTCAATCGTTCTTCTACCTTGGTAACTTTGGAAAGAAGTTTCGAAAGGAAAAAACGCGCGAGAGAAGAACTACGAACTTAGCAATCTCGATGATACCTTGATCTTGTCCATCTTGAAAGCGCGGCAGACGATGGCGCGGCGATGAGCCCAGTCGCTGCCGTTCGCCATGATCAGGCCATTGCCCAGCAGCACGGCTCCACCTTTTCGCTGCAGCGCTGATTTTCCAAAGTGTGCTGCTTTTGTGTACAGTATCTCCTTGATCATGTCGGGCCTTGTCACCGTGATTCTGGGCTCCGTCCCCCACCAAAACACAAATGTTCGTCCTGCAGGAATAGAAAAATCACTACAAGCACAAAACAAAAAGAGAGAAGAAAGAAGAATTGGAGGAGTATCATGAATCATGACCGAGGTGCAAACTTACCGTAGAGCTTGGACCACTCCAAGTAGTATGGGCAGATTCTCTGGAGGAGATTATGGTCCCCAATTTCCATGGGCTGGTGGAAGGCTGTCTCCTTCATCCTCGTGATCTCGTCCATGTTTCCTACAAGGAATTTGGGACGAGGACCCTCCAGCCCCTGCATCCGCAGCAGCCGTCTCAGATGGACTGGCCGCCACAAAAACTCCGCCACTTTTTTTGCTCCCCAGGACAAGGCGGTCGCAGCCGCAGCGATGACGACGAGGAGAAGTGGCAGCAGCTGGAGCGGATCCATGGACCGATCGTACATAGATTCTTTCTCTTTCTTTCCACTAAAGTGTGTTCTTCGCGGTTTGCAAGGAGCCAAGATCAATGATGGTGATCATCTAGTGACTTGATGGAGTGAGAGCCAGCCAGGAAAGGTAAGTCATCCGGGACAAGATCAAACTTTGGGCAATCATATGTCGTTCAAGATCTGGAAAGAGAGGGATTTGATGCGCTGTGTACTACCGGGAGAAGAGAGGGGTGCGGAGAATTTCTAGTGCACGAGAATGGTGGAATCAATGCGACCTTTTCCCTCGAGAGGATCGAGAAAACGGAGGGAGTGAAGGGAGAGTAGTCAGATCTAGCAGAGCAAAACCATTAAGCGAGTACTCGAGAGTACTACAAACTGCCGCACTTATATATGGAGAGAAACTACTGCGGCTTTTATATGTGCTCAGTTCCTGATTAGGAAAGTCACTCAAGTGAAACAGCAACAAATATTTAATCCCAAAAATATGGAAAATTAGGCAAAAGAAAGAGATAAACCGCGAATTATAAGCGTAGAAATAAGAAACTCGGGAAACTCTACAAGGTATAGAGAGGCGGAATTTAGAATGAATGGATCCAAAGGAGAATGAATGAGTGATCAACTTTGGAAGGAAAACGTGTACGAAGGCGAGAAGGGGCAGCATTTACAAGGGCATGGACAAAAAAGAAAGGGGAGTGTTTGTTCTATGTCAAGAGTGTGTGTGTGTGTGTTTGTTTTGCTAGAAGGGGACGAGAGAAGCCAGAGCTTTCACAGCTCATAAGGACTGCTTCTTCATAAATAGCCCCTGCCTGCCACAAAAGACTGAGTGAGAGGAGCGCCACCAAACGCTGCTACACGCGCATCCATCTCCATCCAAAACACCCAAGGGCCTGGGGTGTTAGATATTTTTTCGAGATCGATTGATCGATGGATGGATGGATGGAGTAATGATTTATCAAAACAGGTAGAAACAAAAATTTCTCTTATGATGTCAATATAATTTTTTCGTGTTCGTGCTGGTATAGAAGAAGATCATGCACTGCTGAGATTGAGATTGTTGTTCTTAAAAGAGGAAATCGTTTTCTTTTTGCTTTTTCCTCTTTTTTTCCCCAAAGGCTAAAGGTCGCGTGATTTTTACTGCAGAGGTGGGGTGTTGACCTGTAAGAAACAAGCACTGCTCCTCACTAGGGAGGACACACTTTGAATCATCACGAGCATCATATGCGTTGGAGAATCTAATTTGTCCACCACCACCACCCAAAAATCTTCCTGGGATCGACCATTTACCCCTCCAGATTCATTCCTCACTGATCACTCGCCCACCTTTTTCTACAGCGAAAGTAAAAAAGAGCTTTTTCGTTGGCAGGCATGTAGAGTGATCCATCCAGGCCATACAGGCAAAGGTTCTATCAACCCATCGCGTGAAAGGTACCATTCCACCCCATCTATCTACGAAGCGTTCTCCATAGCCATACATTCGTGCACCCTCTTCTCCGGGACCACTTTCGGGCTTGGAGGCTCTCCCGGCTCAAACGTTTTCTATGCATGGCCCTGACTTGTTCTAGTGTGTGTGTTGTCTGGGTGTTGCCATATAGCCTTTGGTAGCAAAGCGAACACATCCTTTCTCTATTTCTATCAGCAACCAACCATTCCTGTTCGTCGGTGCTCAACTGGAAAAATATTGAAGAATCGTCACTCCTCTCCTCTCCTTTCTCTCCTGCCAGTTTATTCCATTCAACTCCTCCGCTCGTTGAAGAGTCGTAGCCACAGTTGAAGCGTCACAAGAACACTGGAGGGCCTACAAGGAATTTATAGAAAATGGAAAAGAGGTCCAATGACAAAAGCGAGAGCCAGCAAACAAGGCATAGGAAACATAGGCAGGATTTGGCTGCCACCACTGCCAAAAGGCTCTTCTTCTTTCTCGCATCATAGTGAAAAGGACCGAAAACTTCCTCCCCCAGCAGTTTATTGCATGACGAGCAAACTTCCAACCACATTTTAACTCTCTCAAAATACGAGCCTTTGCCCTTTTGGTTTGACGGTGATTTTCTTTAATGTGGGGTTTCTAGGGTTTAATGGATGATCGCGATTTGCAGGGCCATCGTGGGGATCGCTGACTGATTCTTTGCTTCGATCGAGCGAGCTCGCGTCGCCTTCAAATCTTTCCATGGCGGGAGTTTGCATTTGCAGCGAGCTCTGGCGCCAGTCACACTCGCAAGACGCCGTGTCCACGCTGAGCGCGCTGCTCCAGGCCGCCTCTTATCGTCTCAGATTCTCTGCCATAGCTCCGGTAAGCTTTCCATCTCTATTTTCTTGCGTGTTCTTTTAGTCCTCTTTGTCTTGTAGTCTTGTAGTCTAGCTTATTTCATACTTTGGCTGGATGGCTCTAGGACTTTATTCTCAGCAACGCAGGAGTGTCCATCGCTTTTGTCGTGGTGGATGATGTTCACAAGGAGCTTGCATGCGAGGCCGAAAGGTGATCTATCCGAGCTTTGCCTCGTCTAGGATTTGACTTTCATGTATCTACGCAGGATTCTAAAGATGAGAGGGACTTTCCAGAATTCCTATGTCATCGTCACACTCTCGTCCGAGGCTGACTACAGCGTGTTTTCGGAGTTCTACTTCAGGTGGCCTGCTACTATTTACAACTGTGTTTTCTAACTTTTGCTCATTTGCAGCCTTGGTTTCGATGGTGAAAAGCCAGCTTGTATTCCGGTACCGAGCAAGCATATGGCGCTGGAGAAAATGATCCGGATTGCTTTTGTTCACGCAGGTGGTGTCAATCCCGTCCTTTGCTTCTTGCTCTGACATCGTTTGAGCAGAATGCAAGCGCCAAGGCATCACTGGAATGGTTGATCTCGAGGTGCTTTGATAGGATTTATTTTTGTGTTTCTTTTTCCCACACTTTTCTGCAGAGAAAGCAGTTTGTTCAGTCCGAGGATGCGCGGATGGCTTGTGTCTCCTCTATTCCAAGGTTGGAGCTCCATGACGCCCATTCAGTGAGTGCTTGGACCATAAGTTTTGTTTCTAGCTACTGCATCTCAGCTTGTGCAGGGAGTGGGATCTTTGGAAGCCATTTCAAGGTCGAGCCGGGAGTCTATAATGGAGACAACTGATCTTTCTGTGGACTCCGCAGAGTCTGTCATGAAGCTATTTAATGACAGGGTGTATGGAAGCACACCACTGCTTTGATCTGTGTAATTGTTGTTGGCTATTACTGTTCAGCGTATTTTCTATTTTAAATACTTGCTAGGCAACAAATGAAACAAAATTAACTAATTTGCCAAGTCTTTTATATGAAAGATTTTTAATCTAGGTTTTTGATCTTGGCACGGCTGGCGCGGAGGCGCTGGGATCGGGCCTGTATAGATCTCTTCCGGTGCATGGGCGCGACGCGATCGTCCCCAGGATGAAGCGCGAGCGCTGGTTTTTGGTGGTGGGGGAGGGCAGACGTGCTTTCCCCGGCTGGGCTCCTGGCACAGGTTCAAACTGCCCGCGAATTTCCTCACCCGGAGGTATGTGGTGGATTACTCGCAGCGGCTCGCATGGGAACCAACAGCAAGCTCGATCTCATCCAGTGAGCGGATGGAACCGGATCGCCAAGCAAAGCTTGCAGGACATCGATCATCTCCATGCTGGTGGACGAAAGAACCAAAGAGGTCATTATCAGCCGGAGACTATGAACGAATCAAAGACAGATGGGGAGGTTTTCGATGGGGAGTACTGGAATAGACACCATGTTGAAGTCCCAGGGATCTTGGAGAGGACTAGACCCGTTTTGGCGAAACCAATACCACAGCTCAAGGCACAGAAGAACGGGGTGACATATTTTGTGGAGAAACTTGGCAACAATGACGCCCGGTTGATGAGCCTGGAGGTGGAGGCCAATGCTTGGAAGGAGGTTCTACTTCCAAAGAGAGACGAGTCCTGCTTTGACGAGTCCTGCTGAGAGGGAGATCGATATGGATCATTCATTCGATGGCTTTCGGGGCCTCGTGTGTGGTGGAGGAAGGATCATGCTTCTCGTGGGCGATGGACTCTATCAGCTGGAGGAGAGCTTGTGTTGGATCATGCCTATGGGGTGACTGCTTGTGCCGGGTGTGGGGCTTTCTGCAAGCCCAGGGAGAGCTGCGATCTGAAACGAGCAAAGAAGAAGAAGGGTCTCGGGGATGATTGTCTGGTTGGGTATGATGTGGAGGAAAAGAGGGGGTTCCATATTAATGTGAAGAAAGGTCTTGCTAAGTCCTGATATGATGGGTGGAATGAAACTGAATGTTTGTTTTGGGGGCATTTTGGCGTTAGAAGGCTTGAATGTTTAGTCAACTTTAGTCAGACTTCTTAGTTAATCACCTCATAATCCAACGGCTCCATTGTTTAAGCATTTAAGTTTCACTCCAATGTTGTTCCAACTCACTTTTCTTCTTAGTCCTGACATTGCATTCTAAAGCACACTCCATTGTACTGTTATGGTGTGCAATTTGTAGATGCAGTTGTTTTAACATGTGTCAAAAAGCCATGTGCTTGCCCATAGGTCCAAAACTTTTTCCATGTGGGTGGAATCTACTAAGGATATTCTTTATCTAGATGCCATTCCAATGGCCCCATCAATGCATAGGGCATAAAACTCCATCATAGCCATTCAATTTAATTTAACTTTGATGGGCTCGTATCATGTGAGTTCCCACAAATGCTCATATTCTCACTTATGAAAAGGCTGAGGCAAAGAGTTGGTAGTTGGGACATGATGTTGCATTAACTACTCCTTTTATAAATAATGGTGTTATGATGATGCATACCAATATAATGCAAATTGACTAAGTTTATGAAATCAGACTATAGTAACCATGTCTCTTTCTTCTCCTTACTGCAGTATTAACCACAGGTAAGTTACAAGGACTCAATCATGCAGAGTGGCAAGGCCAAAAAGGCTTGAAAGCATAATATAATATAAGCATAATAACAAAGCATCTCATTCTATATACATTGAAAGCCAAATTCTAACT